ATAACTAAAAATCAGGTTTTAAAATTGTATTCATACAGTTAAAAGAGTCAGTAACAGGACTGAAAAATTGCAAAAAAATTAACTAAAATATAAAACAAAAACTAATTACAACCATTACTTAACACTGTATTTATACATTAAAAATGTTGGTAACAGGACTGAAAAATTGCAAATAAATAAAATAAAATATAAAATAACTAAAAATCTGGTTTTAAAATTGTATTCATACAGTTAAAAGTGTTAGTAACAGGACTGAAAAATTGCACAAAAAAAGGGATTGAAAAATATAAAATAAAACAAAATAAACAAATAAATAACATAAAAAATAACAAATCTAGATTTAAAACTGTATTAATACAGTTAAAATGGCTGGTAACAGGGTTGAATAACTGCAAAAACCTAAATAAAATAAAGGATTAAAAATGGTTGGTAACAAGATTACACAGCTGAAAAAAAATAAATAAATAAAAAATAAATCAAGTATCATCCAGATTTTAAGCACTTTATTTCACTGACCGCTTTGTTTAAAAAAAAAAGCAATCAAGTCCTATTCATGTAAAACTTTATTTTTTAAACTGTTTACTGTATAATTTCATGGATAAATGTGTATCATGCAGTGAGGAGGGGGTCTAACATACCATCCTGAAATAATCACTGGGAATGACCGTGTCTCCATCCTTCATCCATTTGACGGTGAGCGGCAGTGAGCCGGTGACGTCACACTCAAAGATGATGTCCATGGACTCCTGGGCGTAAGTGTTGGAGGGTCTCATTAAGAACCGAGGAGGAACTAGAAGAAGAAAATGAATAAATGCAGGTATGAACTGGAGAGGTGGTCACAGGGTGCATTAAAGGTTGCATAAGTGCAACATCCCTTCGCTGGGATTTGTGTGATAGACGTGGCTGTTCCTATGGCAACCGCATCCGTCAGGAAACAGGCTAGTTTGTGACCTCTCCTGATGTTTGTAACGTGCGCAGGTAATGCAGGATGTACAGCAGGGAAGAACAGATGAAGAACAAGAATACAGAGACGCTAAATATAACATGAGTTTCAGATTCAGAGATAGTTTTCTTATCAGCAGCTGACAAAAGTGCGTCAAGGATGACTTATTCTGTATTTTTCACACCCAGCTTCACCTTCTAAAGTCAACAATAGACAAAGAAAATCAACAGCGCTCCATCTGCTGTCAGCTGGAGGAGAGGAACAGAGGAAGATTCATTTCCTTGAACTCTGCTACACTAACGATCTCTGGCAGTCACTGTCTGTGGTGTGATCTCAATTCTCTGCTGTATCTCTCCGGCATCAGCCTTGGTCAATTATGCTGTTTTCAGACTTGGTTTTGTAGATTGGATGAACTTGAGTTCGAGCTTCTCTCCCTCAGACTCCTGCAGGACTGGTTTCACACCGGCTGTGTTCTCAATGGAATACTTGTTTACTGCGCAGTGCATACTGTATACCATCTAATGCTTTTAAAAGCTAGTAGTATGTGAAACAGCAACTGCAGATGACTGAAGTGTGCAGGATTGACACAAGCACTAAACTGAAACATATAGAACTGAAGTATACACTAAAATATGCAGACACTTTTTTTGTTCTGATTTTCTTAATTTTGAGATTGGAATAAAATATATTTAAATATATGCTGAATAAAAGAATAAATTTCTTACATTTAAATATATATAGTATCATAGTATATATAGTCTTAGTATTTTAAGATGCAAGACACTGATCAAAAGTGACAGTAGAAGACATGTATAATATTATAATTTCACATTTATAATTAATTTTGAAATATACAATGATACATTTATTTATACACTTATAAATAAAAAAAAAAATTTTATTTATAATTTATATTTCAAATAAATGCTGTTCTTTTGAACTTACTATTCAAAGAATCCTTTTTTTTTTTTTTTTTTACAAAAATCTCAGTTTCCACAAAAATATGAAGCAGCACGATTGTTTTCAACACTGATAATAATCAGAAATGTTTTTTGAGCATCAAATCAGCATATTAAAATGATTTCTGAAGATCATGTGACACTGAAGACTGGAGTAATGATGCTGAAAATACAGCTTTGATCACAGAAATATATTACATTTACACATACAACTAGAAAACAGTTATTTTAAATTGTAATAATATTTCACAATTTTACTGGTTTTACTGTATTTTTGATCAAATAAATGCAGCCTTGATGAGCAGAAGAGACTTCTTTTTCTACTCATAATTGAATTTATATAAAATATAACAATAACAGAACTTATAATTGATGTATATGTGCATACGTATTCCTTTAGTTTTTAAAAGTTTATTAATATAGGTGGTGATAAAAAACAAAAAAAAACTTTAAATGTGCCAAATGTAATGTAGACAGAATGTAACAAGAATTGGATTTAACTGGAACACAATAAAGTATAAAAAATAAAAAGTAATCAACTTAAATATATAAGACTGAAGTATGCACTACCAAGTATGCAGGACTAATGTGTGCACTACTGAAGCAAGTGGGTGTGAAAGTAATACGATTACAGATTGTCAGAACACATCCTTTCATTTTATGAGTACCTTTTAAAGCGTAACCCAAGCCTATCTTAACAGCGTTTTACACGGCTCTCTACAATCCTGCTAATCTGAGAGGGAATCCGGGGAAAATCCCAGCATGTGAACACCGCCTTCTAAAATAACCGCGGCACAAGAGTTATGAGTCACTTCATATGCAGATATTAAAATGCCAATGCGGCGTTTCACAGCAGCCATACTGCAGGAAGAAACGGTCACTATAACTCTATATCCCAGAAAAGCTCTTAAAACACCATGGCGTTATTTATGCATTCAAAGTCAGCCAAAGTCTTGCAAGAGAAGCACAGATAATGACTCAAATGCAAGAAGAGGGAAAAAAACTAATTGGCATTGAAAGTACATCATATATTAATCACACCAATGAAAATAGCACAAGCAGGCATGAAAGAGAGCTAAAAACGGCGTTATTTATGCATTCAAAGTCAGCCAAAGTCTTGCAAGAGAAGCACAGATAATGACTCAAATGCAAGAAGAGGGAAAAAACTAATTGGCATTGAAAGTACATCATATATTAATCACACCAATGAAAATAGCACAAGCAGGCATGAAAGAGAGCTAAAAATATGAACCGAGTGAGTTCATCTCAATACAAGTTACGATCTGCACACAGCATCTGTGACGTGCTGTCGATTACCACAGAAAAATGGAAGTTTATTCACCTAGAAAAGACTCGTATAACACTTTATTTTTAATTGTTAGCATGCCATAAATCCTGCCTATAGAGTTTAACGCATTGCTAACCTGGAATATTCCTTTATATTGTTTATGCAAGACGTACAGGAACTATAAAAGCGGTCAAACATGCACCTGCGTACGTGGTTTTCAAAACATGCAACTTTACACACCTAAACACCCTCCTCGCTAGGTGTGCTTGTGTTACCCAAAGCGCTTTATTTTTACCCATCAGAAGCGAAATCAGATTTCCTGACTCCCCACGGGAGATTCAACTTCCTGAGCTCAGTAACAAACCCTTCCATACGTGCGGCAGTACCTGTGAAAAGGCGAGAAAAGCGAATGGAAAAAAGCATCAGCAGCAGGAGGGAGTGAAAATAACAGATCAGGAGGGCGAAGAGATCATGAACACACGGCCTACTGCTGTCAGCTTTATCTTACTTTACTCTTGATGTTATATTGCACTGAAATCTCTTGCATCACCCCTAGCATCCATGTCAGTCTCACAAGATTTTTTTTTTATCTAATTAGAAAATCCAATTATGATATGGTTCAATTTCAAGAGTCAGATCAAAGGTAGTCTGGGCTTCAGACAGCACGACCACAGACTGCGCTTCATTCTGAATGACTAGCTTTACGCAACTTCTATAAATCAGCGTGCGCGAGTTTTTATCAGTTTTCTATTTTTTACAGCTTATAAAGGAGTATATAATAAGCAATTGATTCCTCCAACCATTCTGGGCATTTTCCAACTTGGGCTAGTTGGGCTACAGAATATATCATAGAAATGAACTGGATATTTCTGTAAATTGTGTGATTTTGAATTAAATATGCTCATAAAGTGGTAAAAGCTTCTTATGTGAGCTGGAATGAACTGAACGTTGCAAATCATTATGTCGGCTGTTTTTCTTTGGAAAAATTGTTCAATTATGTGTAATGTGATCAAAAACGGCATGAATTAGAAAGCAGTTTTTAGCAAAGCACCAATTATGAGGAAACATGGGAAGTTCATGGGAAGATTTAGAGAAACGTAGCATTGCATCACTTGCTCAGCAATAGATCCTCTGCAGTGAATGGGTGCCGTCAGAATGAGAGTCCAAACATCTGATAAAAACATCACGATAATCCACAAGTAATCCACATAATAAATCCAATAAGACATTTTTAACTTCAAACCATTGCTTCCGGCTAAAATACAAGTCTTCTATCCATGAAAAGGCTTCCTCCAGTGAAGAAGTCCATCCATTGCTGTCCTCTAACATCAAAATCATATAAACGCTTATAAACAGTGCTTGATGTGTATATTTCTCTCCCGACTTCTGGAGAAAGCAATATTATGGCTTGAGGACCCTTGAGAAACTTTTTCTCTGAACATTGTGAGAACAGTTATCAAATGCTAATAACATCAGCCTGAATGCAATGTAAGATAAAACATTTGTCAAATGCACAGATGTAAATGCAATAATCGGCACTTAAACATCTGGGTGAACACAACCATGTAAAACCATTATATGCAAACCGTCACATTCAATTCAATGCAACAGTTACAGTTAGAATGGTTTTACAGATTTTTTTTGTAAGGCCCATTGTGCAGTACTGTCTTCTGCATTTCCTGCAGCACTTTTGAATGAATGACCACTGTATTGCATGTCAGGCTATTAAATAATTTAAAAATGAAAGATTAAGCATTAGCTTTAGTTCTGGCAGGTCACGTGAGTCAAGCTTGCATCAGCTGATTCTCAGCTGATCACATCTACCTATAGGAATACCACACCTATCACAGCATTCCTATATAAGCTCTATTCAGCAGCTTTTCAGCTTGCTCCGGAGCAAATTACCCTCCTCCATCCCCAGTTCCTCCTTTCGCCACAGTCAGGACTTGGCTTTCTGATATTCCTTGCTAATCAGACTCCTTTATCTTGAATAAAGTGTTACACTTAAATATCATTAAGTACATTAATGATATCTACCTTGTTCTGTTCTGTTAACCCTAGGGGGGTTATTATTGCTGCTCTCCCTGCTTATTCATGACAGGCTGCATAGATGGGCAGGGAGTTTTTTGCCCAGAACAGAACCATACCGCCAAAACAAACTTTATGCTAAGTATCTATCATTTTGACGATAGTGGTCCTGACAGAATTATGGTTGGTCAGGTGGCCACATTTAATCAAATATATGGCAATGAGTCTGAGACATTTAGTCGACTAAAATTAAAACAGGACAAGTGGACTAAATATGATAAAAAAACTAAAAGTTACATTTGACACAGGACTAAGACTAAATGAAAAATAGCTGACAAAATTAACACTAGAGTTGTGCATGCATTAACTCGTATCTAGAGAGCAAAGCATTTTGAAAGCATTTCCATTCAAAACCTTTACACACCTCCACATTAGACAGAGCTGTGAATTCTCACTGACTCTCCAAAAATGTAATCCCATGCCAAGAGATGAAAATAATACAGAAAAAAATAAATAAATAAAAACAAAACAACGCTTTGAAGTTCCTCCCCCGCAGAGGAGAACGCCGTCTAGACACGTGTGTGTTTCGAAAGCCTGAACAATGCTGCTCATAATTACATACGGGATGTTTAGTGCCGCTCCACGAGTCTGTTTGCGCGGAATTGAATCATTCACAATTCAGATGATTCTCAGCAGGTTTGATGACTCGATTTGATTTAAGATATGAATATGTTCTTGTGAAATGTACCGTGCACCGTGAGCTCTGCCTGGATCTCGCTGGTCATGTTGCCGCTGTTCGCCTGGCAGACGTATATCCCAGCATCCTCTTCGGTCAGGTTGACGATCTGCAGGCTTCCCCCGCCAATCACAGCAAAACGCTCACGGCTGGGAAAAACACACAAACAGAGAAAGAGATACAATGAGATGAGGATGTGTTAAAATGAAATTTTGTAGCATTTTCAGGACCGCCAGCCATCTCAAGCATGACACGGTAATGCCAACAGAGATGGAATTGAAAACAAGATTCAGTATGGATTTCATTTCCTGCGGATTTCCCTTTATGGCTTGATTGCACTGAAAGCAACTTCCCTGGAGTGTTTGACTTGAGGTTTCTCGAGAAAAACAAACTATTGTTCCCGGTTCCTCCCCAGTGATTCGGAGACAGGAAGAGACAGCGAGTTAATCTAAGATGAGCTGAGAATGGAAAGAAAAAATAATCATTAGTCACGCACAACAGAGGAGAGAAAGTAAAGAGGAAGGATGAAGAGTCGAACACAGTCAGACCTCCAAACCTCACGTCACTTCATTAGGAAAACACTCCTGCAGGGAAAAGAAAAGAAATCACCAATTACTGAACGGAGAATAAACCAGCCAGGAACGATGCCTTCCCACACACACAGAGCAAAATCCACCCGCTCACCCATCAAGACACTTCTTCCAACACACCCGGGAGTCAATCTGCAGCTCACAGTGACAATGACAACAGCCTTCATTTAGAAGCGGAGCGAATTTTGGTGTAAATTCAGTGTTTCCCACAGACTTACACTCTAATTGTGGCGGCACTTCTCCCTGGGGAAATATACTGTATATATATATATATATATATATATATATATATATATATATATATATATATAACAAAATGCTCTGATAACGATTTATGTTGTTAGAAATTATGGATAATCATTTGACACTTTCAGATGAATGGTTTTATGAACAATTCAAACAAATTCTGCTTGTGTTTAAAATCCAGTTTGGTGCTTTGCAGCATTAGGGCTTTTCACACTGTGCTTAACCCCGGGTTATCATCGGGTTATAAACACGCTGTATAAACAGTCCTTTCAGTGTTTGAGGGGAAAACTGTCAAATGGTGACAGAACATTTATCAAACACTAATAGCACCATAAGAACCAATAAACATGAATGTTTCAGAGCTTGCGCTTCTCTTCTCAGAGTCTAGCATGAAAAGCACCTGATCACAGGAGCGTCACTCTATCTTTAGCATCCCCAGTCACTGTTTGTCTGCCGCTCTGAAAAACGAGGTCTCCGAACCCAATGAGAGGTTCGTTAAATGCATGAGATGACAAAAGTCAGATGACGCTGCCACCGTGAACGCTAAGGGGAGCCCTTGAGAGACCTGAGGAGGAGGTCGGATAATTAAAAAAGAAATTAAAAAGACGACGTGACTATAAAGTACAAAGAGCCTCGTTAATTGTCTTTTAGCACTACATTAAAACAGACTGGAGGAGGGTAACAGAGCATGATGGGTAAAAAAGTAGTTCAGCCTATTCTGACATTATTTATTCACAAAAGTTTCATTTGTAGATTTTAAAATGCACTGAGCACTTTTTTTGCACTTTGACATTATTTATTCACTCAAACCTGAAGGCTGAAAATTAAAACTTAAAACCATTAAAAAATTGTTACAAAAAATTTTATAAATTTAAATTTAAAATAAAATATTTTTAAAACTTATTTCAGTTAGTTGCCAAGGCAACATTTATATATTTTAATATTTAATATAAAAATGTAATATTTTAATTTAGTTTAACTTGAACTGAAATTACAAAAGCATATTTTTTTAAATTACAAAAAATATAAAAATATAATATAAAAATTAAATCTAATAAAAAAAATTATACACACACACACACACACACACATATATATATATATATATACACAGTGGGGCAAAAAAGTATTTAGTCAGCCACCAATTGTGCAAGTTCTCCCACTTAAAAAGATGAGAGAGGCCTGTAATTTTCATCATAGGTATACCTCAACTATGAGAGACAAAATGAGAAAAAAAAATCCAGAAAATCACATTGTAGGATTTTTAAAGAATTTATTGGTAAATTCCTCGGTAAAATAAGTATTTGGTCACCTACAAACAAGCAAGATTTCTGGCTCTCACAGACCTGTAACTTCTTCTTTAAGAGGCTCCTCTGTCCTCCACTGGTTACCTGTATTAATGGCATCTGTTTGAACTTGTTATCAGTATAAAAGACACCTGTCCACAACCTCAAACAGTCACACTCCAAACTCCACCATGGCCAAGACTAAAGAGCTGTCAAAGGACACCAGAAACAAAATTGTAGACTTGCACCAGGCTGGGAAGACTGAATCTGCAATAGGTAAGCAGCTTGGTGTGAAGAAATCAACTGTGGGAGCACTTATTAGAAAATGGAAGACATACAAGACCACTGATAATCTCCCTTGATCTGGGGCTCCACGCAAGATCTCACCCTGTGGGGTCAAAATGATCACAAGAACTGTGAGCAAAAATCCCAGAACCACACGGGGGGACCTAGTGAATGACCTGCAGAGAGCTGGGACCAAAGTAACAAAGGCTACATCAGTAACACACTGCGCTGCCAGGGACTCAAATCCTGCAGTGCCAGATGTGTCCCCCTGCTTAAGCCAGTACATGTCCAGGCCCGTCTGAAGTTTGCTGGAGAGCATTTGGATGATCCAGAAGAGGATTGGGAGAATGTCATATGGTCAGATGAAACCAAAATATAACTTTTTGGTAAAAACTCAACTTGTCGTGTTTGGAGGAGAAAGAATGCTGAGTTGCATCCAAAGAACACCATACCTACTGTGAAGCATGGGGGTGGAAACATCATGCTTTGGGGCTGTTTTTCTGCAAAGGGACCAGGATGACTGATCCGTGTAAACGAAAGAATGAATGGGGCCATGTATCGTGAGATTTTGAGTGAAAACCTCCTTCCATCAGCAAGGGCATTGAAGATGAAACGTGGCTGGGTCTTTCAGCATGACAATGATCCCAAACACACCGCCCGGGCAACGAAGGAGTGGCTTCGTAAGAAGCATTTCAAGGTCCTGGAGTGGCCTAGCCCGTCTCCAGATCTCAACCCCATAGAAAATCTTTGGAGGGGGTTGAAAATCTGTGTTGCCCAGCGACAGCCCCAAAACATTACTGCTCTTGAGGAATGGGCCAAAATACCAGCAACTGTGTGTGAAAACCTTGTGAAGACTTACAGCAAACGTTTGACCTCTGTCATTGCCAACAAAGTGTATATAACAAAGTATTGAGATGAAATTTTGTTATTGACCAAATACTTATTTTCCACCATAATTTGCAAATAAATTCTTTAAAAATCCTACAATGTGATTTTCTGGATTTTTTTTTCTCATTTTGTCTCTCATAGTTGAGGTATACCTATGATGAAAATTACAGGCCTCTCTCATCTTTTTAAGTGGGAGAACTTGCACAATTGGTGGCTGACTAAATACTTTTTTTCCCCACTGTATAAGTATTAAAATAACACTGAAATGGTCACTACTAATCGTTTTTCATTTTATGGAAAAGAGCTTGGGGAAAAAAACTATCTTTTAAAGTTTTTTAAAGAACTATCCCTTTAAATCTGCACAAAATTCCTCTCATGAATATTTAATTTGGTAATAAGTGTCCCCAATAAAATTACAAATATATTTTTCAAATATCTGAAGTCACAAAACCACAAACTTGATAACATCTGATTTAATTGAAACTACAATTAAATCTTTAAATCCTGGTGCTTACAGAAAAAAAAGACACAATCAAGTGTTATTCTACGAAACTTTATCTTTGAGAACATCTGGCTGAACATCAACACACTTCTCAAGGATTCTTATGTTAGCTGCCTCGCTTTAGGATTTATTATCCTCCATTTCCCAGAATCCCTCAATTCAAAGGCCTGTTTAAATTTACTGTTGTTTGCCAACGCTGATCCACCATTAAAAACGAAATAAATTTGCTATAAATGTTAGGTCCAGGATGTCGTACGTCGTAAATATAAACATGAGGTCGAGATTTTGAAGGAGAATGTATGATATAACCATTAAAAAAAAAAAAGAAAAAAACATAAATCAGAGTATTGCACAAAGAGGAAGCGCTTGTTGAAAATGTACGCCCATTCACCCAGCATTGGGAAGGAACTGCTGAGCATGCGTTTGTGTTACAATATACTTATATTACAATCTTCCCCTGTGCAAATACTGATGTTTGTGTTGAGAAGAGGTCGAGTATCTGTCATCAACACTGGCATCAGTCTCTGGCTGCTTTATCTACGTCACTGAGGACAAAAGGTGTTCTTGTCACTGAAGCAAGCGATTTGCATTCATCCCAAGAATTCCTCCGTGATCCGCTGGCTTTCTGTAAAGCACTAAACAGCATTCCGGCTCTAATCCATGTGATTCAAAGGTGAGATAAGACAATTTCAGCTGTGTGATTATCTGGGTCGACCCCTGTCAGCTTCCTGGTCATATCCTACACTCTTTAAAGGAATACAAACATGGAGAATCTGGCCTCAGATCAGAAAGCGTTTATCTGACCCGTCTGGCCAGAAATCACTCAAGGGATTGGCTATAAATGAGCGTTTATGCACGGCCTGTAATGAATGAGCGTCTGAGCTGATAAGGAGGTTTTAACACCAACACACCATGATTTGTTTATTCAGTTCCTGCGAGCCGTCCGACAATCTCCAGATTAGACTCTCAACAACAGGCCAGAGAAGCAAACAATGGAGGAGGAATGTGACTTATTCAACACTGGTTCTGCATGCTGAAATTGAAGGCCTCTAAACACACAAGATTTTTAGGTTTTAAGCTTTCGGTCTTCATTCTTGGTGTTTTTCTACCTTAAAAGCTTAGTTCATGCAATAAGCATTGTCATTGTTTACTCTCCCCTCCTGTCATTCTAAACCAGTATGCTACTATTTATTTAAATTATTTTTAAACGTATTTATTTTTAAGAATTTTCACGCAGTTCCATTTCAGTCAACAGTTTATAGGTGACCTCTACGGGGTAAAATTATTATTATTTTTTTTATGTATATAACAAGGTAACATAAAATTTAAAAAGGCGACAAAGGAACAATAAA